GGGAATACTCTTTAACGTTTTTTACGGTGCTTTATAAGAAATAACACACAAACTGCAATGACAAACATGACAATTGATATTTGCGTGGCAGTTGTTGAGGCAGTGCAGAAACTGATCATGAGTTGCTGATCATGCGGTATCGTCAACTTATCGCAACCAAATAGAAGGGCAGCGTTGTTGTTAAGGACCTATTTCTTTTCAAAATGGCACAGAAAGATATTGGCCAAAACAGGACCTAAAGGAGAGCCCATAGCCACACCGTCAATTTGGTCGTAATATTGACCACTAAATACAAAATAGCTTTTCTTTGTGGCAAACTCAAGCAGAACTTTCAAGACTAAGCGATGCAGAGTTGGTGGATCGTGGAGGGTATACAATTTGTCAGGATAAATCTGTATTGTCTCATCAAGTGGAACGTTTGTAAACAATGAACTAACGTCAAACGAGCACATCATTTCATTGTTATGGTTATACGCCTTGGCCCAGTCCGCAAACCAAAAAAAATCCTTGATCGTGAATTGATTGGTGGAGATGGGCTGAAGTATGCATACAAGATATGACGCCAGATTGTAGATGATGCTAGATTTTCGCTTAGTTTGAATTTTACTGATTTCCAACAGCAAAAATCAGCCTGTAGGCTAATAGATATCATTGGAAATTTGATGTTCTAAAAACTACGTGAGAACCCCAAAAATTATCCGGTTATCTTTGAGTTTATGAGTCCTCGACAGAAACACTCTTTTGACAGTAGAAATCTTGGGCTCGAAGCTAAATACATTGTTAAAAATGTTAAAAAGAAACTGAAAGACACTGTTATGCTAGTACTGTTAATTTAGATCGTGCATATTTAATAAATAAGTTCGAGTAGGTTACAATACTGATGTAGCCTGCTTATAATAATAATAATAATAATAATAATAATAATAACAACAACAACAACAACAACAATAATAATAATAATAATATTAATAATAATAATAATAATAATATTAATAATAATAATACGTCTTTAGCCAGGAGGCAACCTCACCCTCAGATGGTTTTCAGGTTGATCCTGAGTAAAAATTATAGATATACAGTAGCTAAAAATTTTTAAGTCTAAAAAAGTTAAAAAATTCTAAAAATACAATAAAATTCTAAGATAAAATTAATTAATGAAATAAAAAAAAAAGATAAAATAATTGATGTATCGGTGAGATTTATACCATAAGTATTTTGTTAAGGCAATCCCTCTCAAGTCAGTTATTTCTAGATCGCTCCCGGTTTTCTAGACATAGCCAATCGCGTGACACCATTTTGCTCACCTGGACAACCTGAGCGACTTTATACCCATTATCGATTATCATCCTCCAAGAAAATATTCACCCAACGAGCGTGACACGATTCGCGACAGAACTGGGTACCATGTCTAAAAAGAACTCGGGAGGGATTCACTTGGGATTTGGGAATTAGGCCTTTATGGCGGATTAACTCTATTGCACTTCATTCCCCCGGGGGGAGGGGGGGGGGAACTCCTACATAAAAAGGACGGGGTGTTCGTCCCACCTTTTAAAGTTTGGTTTGGTTTTGTTACCTCTTAGAGTGTTCAGCCTAAAAAGGTCCACAGCGTGAGCTTTTGAGGGTACCTTTTAGGGCACTGAGCCGAAAAACATATGACAGGAGATAATGTGTTGTTTTAGAATTGGTACCTCTTAGGGGTGAAACAAATTGCAAGCCGCATCCACAAAACAGGATCTTGGTACCTTTTAGGGGTTCTTTTCAAAATTTCCGACGAGCAACCCCTTCTTTTTTATATAGGAGTCTCCCCCCGGGCTTCATCCTCTCTTGTTTCCAATGATTTGAACTCATCGATTAGACACCCCTGGCTCTGATGAGAGGCGCAAAGAATCCTTCAAGGCTCTTGCTTTCAGCTCATTAATTTCATTGATTATTCCTTCAATTTGATAAAATTGCGCCTCTGCCAAGAGCTCTTTGCGAAGAACCTTGTCTTCTGGTACAATAAGCTGCCCAGTGCGAAGATAATTCAGGATATACCGGAAGTGAGTTCCATCACGATCAATGAAGTAAGATCCATCCTCGCCTGGCTTTGTGTCAAATCTTCCAGAAAACATGGCGGGTAACATCGAACCTGGGATAAACATGATTAAATATATATCACAACCTGGCAAAGAAAGAAACAGTTTTCGCGTACGTGGTAACAGATTATTGTAAAACTGCGATTTTTGGGGGGGGAAACAAGTTTTTTGTTCTCAAAAGCATTTAAAAAATAGTCTACTTTATTTTACTTGCTTTCTAAATATGTTTCCCACTTGGCTAAATTGAAAAATAAAACTCATTTACGAAGCATTTCATGCTTCCTTGATTAACGAGGCCCTATGAGGGAGAAAGTGAAAGTTACGATGATTTCCGCAGAACGTTCGAGCAATAATGGCAAAAATCAAGTTAACAAAAAAACCTCATGGCATGGTAATATTTTGAATACAGGTAAGAAGAACTTATCGAGACTTAAGCTCTCAAACTGACCCCGTGAGGGAAAATTGGACTTGAAGTTATCCATATTTCAATAAAGACAGACGTTTCGCGTTAGTTAAAGACACAATAACACACGCTTTAAGCATTCTTACGTCGTTGGACATTAAATTTGTCGAGAATGCTTGAGGATTTAATCGTGGGGTCACTTAGAGCAATGAACCAAAGCAAGTTGTTTTAAATAGTATTCGCAAGGTTACCGTACTTTGAGTAGACTCTTAGTAAATAATTTTTGCACTTATTATACGAACTTTGAGCGGAATCCATCTTAATTGTTTTTGGTACAGTTATGGAATATCTTGTCCTAGTGTAACAGAGAAAACTAAAACTCTTCTCGAGGTAACTGGAACACTTTTCTTTCGCTAACTTGCTTTTTTTGCGCATCATTAAGTTTCATCATTTCGTATTTGTATTTGGGAACAATATGATTCGAAGGGCGGCAAACGCATCGCATAATTGATTAAGTTTCAACATCGATCAAAATCTTCGTGAAAACTGCTCAAAACAGCAAAAAAGAAAGAAAACAGCAACATTTTGAATTTTTTTTTATGATCATATATACCCCTGATAATATTTTTCAATTGAGGAGACCAAAAAATGAAGGAAACTGATAACAAAAACTTAAGAATTATGCATGCAATCTGGCTTGACACAAGGACAAGTTCAGACACATCTACAGCACTTGCGTGGATGAAACTTGAGAACACGAATTTCAACTCGTTACTGTGCCGAGTTAAGAGATAGCGACGCAACCGTGTTCAAAGTGTCAGGAATTAGGCAGCCTACTGTACCACTACAATTGTTAGTATACATTCAAGATGCTGAAGGTGACTATTTCACTAAAATTACCTGATGGAGCATTATTCAAGGTTGCCGAAGTCGTCAAGAAAATGTGGCCGCCAACATTGAGTTTCAAGATTTTTGGGAAAGGATTCTGCTCAAGCTTTTTTGCTGGCTCATCATGGGCTTCCATTTTCTTGCAAACTCTGTTCGTCTCGCGGTTTAAAATGTCATAGACTTCCTTGACGCGTCTGGTCACATCCTGGAGCACTTCAATGTTGTGAAAGCTGACTTCTTCTTCTTCTTCTGAGTTCCGCGACGAAGTCATCTTGATTGCAGTAATCAAATATATTTAGTAGATAAAACTTGATTACGAATAATAAATAGATAGAAAGAGACACTGGAACTGTTTTCCTTCTTTCAAAACTTTCTGAACTCTCGACTCTGGAATTCGCGATTTCGCGGAAATTTGTCATAAGTTCATAAATTATTGATGTTTTTTATGGT